AGGGGGGGGGGGGGGGGGGGGCACTGGGCTCCCAACTCATTGTGATATATTATTTATAATATAGCATTTGTAAATTCTTAACGCTGATTGGCCAAGAGCCGTGTTGATATAACTCAATGTCAACACTGAAACGTCGGAAAAATTTTTTCGTTATGTTTCTTTGTGCTATATTATAAAACAAATATAAAACATTTTTTCCGTATTGATATACAGTTTTATCAACACTTGTGGAAATTGGGAAAACTCGAAATTGTGTGAAAACACTCCACCCTTCGGGGTTTTCTCGTTTTCCCAATTTCCACTCGTGTTGATATAACTTTAAAAAACTCATTAATAATTCAGGAGGAAAACACAAAGAAAATATGTGATAAAAAATCATGTTAATTTACATAAACTTTAGCTTTGATTTTCTCGGCTTAGACAAAGTTTATTTTAAAAATTATATCAACCACGAAAATGTTTTATATTTGTTAAACATCAGCTCGTATTAATCCATTGTCTTAACGTGTAGACTGATCATCTATGTTGGTATTTCAGTGTCTCCGAAGAAAGTTCAAGAAGAAATTATCGCGAAAGTAAATGGCCTTCCTGAAGTAGAAAGTGAGGTAGACGGCTTTCCTGAACCAATTGCGCAGGAACCTGATATCAACAGTCTTGACGGAGAAATGTGAGTGGATCTAATCGAAAATACACATAATTCTACCAATTTCGATCGGCAATATATGGCTTTTCCAACCACAGTGTCGGCCTAGTATCATTGGCATATTATCATTGGAAATGCCGTATATTGGTACAAAAGAAGAGCAACTACGATGTGGACTGAAGAAAAAACTCTTACACTGTCTTACAAATTAAAACTAGAGTAACAACGACCAATCTAAACATGTTTATGTACGCTAAAGACCAAGTTCCTATGCAAAACCAATCTCAAACTCATTAATAATTCATGAGTAAATTAGCCAACCATATTGCCTTATTTTGCTCACATGATAATACTGGATACCTGATGAAGTATATTGATCCTGTCCTAGGACTGGATTAAAATTAATTCAGTCCTTGGACTGGATCCAAATGAATTAAGTAGTGATTTATTCGTGCGAGATGTCATTTCAAATCCTCCAATTCGGACTGGACTAGATTCCAAGTCCTCGCATTTTGATTCAGTTCTCGGCTTCGTCGCCGGCTTGATTAAATTACGTGGACTTGAAATCTAGTCCAGTCCTCTTAGTCGGATTTGAAATGTTACATGAATTTACTTGTTCCAAATGTAGAGCAGTAGCTATATTTGTAATTCTACTCTGAGTTATCTCTCCTCGTTATTTCAGATTCACAGTGGTGTTTACATACGCGCCTCAAAACGAGGATGAACTTGAGTTACAAGAAGGCGATACGGTGAAGGTTGTGGAGAAATGTGATGATGGTTGGTTTGTAGGAATATCTGAAAGAACGGGAGAGTTTGGAACATTCCCTGGTAACTATGTCCAACAATTATGAAGCAAACATGAAACGTACTTTGAAACTAATTAAACAAGATCGCTTTGAGGAATCATGAAAGCTCCTCCTATACGGGAGGAATGTGAAATAATATCTGGACTTTTCCAAGCAAGAACTAACCTGTGCAATAAATTGATCAATGCTTACAACCGCTGGGAAATCAAATGGTGAATTAGAATGGTGCGTGGTACGTAATACAGAGTTCACAAGCTCCAGATTGTTTTTGCAATTGTGATCGATTTAGGTCGGAAAATGATCTCCCTATATATATAACCTAATTTAAAGACTTGTCTGAAGTTGTTTATTTTACCTATCTTATCCCTTTGAAGATTTGCAATTTTAGTTATATATCTGTCGACCTACCGTTTCAATTGAACGATTTATTACGAAATGGGGAAGGTCAAACAATGTTTTGGGGGTAGGGAGGGGGGGGGGGCAGATTACCAGACGACAAAAGCTGAAATATTTTGCAGCTAGTATGTAATTATGGAGTAGTAATCCTTTGGGTTTAATCGATGTTTGTCGTTTTTCATAATTTTGTGTAAAATAATTATATATTAAGCATAGTGTAATAATTTAATGCAGTGTAGAACGTTTGCGACCAGATTTGTTCCAAATCTATATAGGTTATTGCAAGCCTTGTTGGTGTATAAAATTCTGGGATATTTTTTCCCCCCAAACAGAAATAACGCAGCCTTGAGCGAGCCTTTCTAATTGTTACTTGTTGGTTTGAACTAAGTGATAATGGATGGTATAGTCGAATTCAAATGTGTTAACAAATGAATAGAAAGTTCATTGAAATCTTTCAATCCTATTTCAATTCATTTAATTGCGGTTTGACCACCGTGTAGCTGTGCTGTCTGAAACCAACCCATTTACAGCTGGAATTTTTGCTGTGATTTTCTTCTGATACATGTGCAGGAGTAAATGAGTTATAAATGTTCTGAGTATATATGTACCTTCATCTCAACATTCATAGTTCATCCAATCGTTCACATCCATCAGAAGAAGGAAATCGCAGCAAAGATTACAAATGCAAACAGGACTTAATTTTGCAAGGCTTGCGATAACTAAAAGAACTGTATTATAGTGAGGTTACGATATATCGTTAATCACTATAGCTACTTACATTGGAAATGAATTCTAGTCGGCTTTGTAAATTCGTAGTACTTGATATTAAAATTTTATGTAATAATTATAGACGGCAGTTTTTCCAATTTTGGGATAAGCCTTATTTATATGCGCGAGGATGTGTTATGATAACACTTAGTTTACCAGAGTTTTACGGTTCGTACAGCAAGGTTGGGGAAACAGTTATTGCATTTACATTAGTGTATTAAATCCTTAAATGTTCCTGAAGTTTTCCAAGTACAGAATTTGCAGACTCTACACAACCACTGAAATTGGAATGAACAAATCCATCACCAGCCAACACGAGCAACGGTTCACTGCTGACGACAACAGCTCCTGGTTGCCCTGGAAACGATTTATATACTTGTGAGTAACGCCATCGGATGCAGCGAGTTGATGTTGGTCGTGGAAGGCTTGGAAATAGTCCTAGGAAGTGTCCGTATATAATCTTCTCAATTTCTTCAATGTCCGAATCCAAATGTGCCAAGCCAAAGGGTACACTAGTATGGACTAGCATAGACGGACTCGAGGTCAAAGGATCTATTGTAAAAAGATATAAAAAAAAATCTGGAACAAGTTGTTATCATTTTGTAACAAGGTTGATGACTGTAACAGACTCGCAACAAGTTGTTCCACCAAGTCTGATATCGTCTGCACGTAACAGTTGTTACATCATTGCACAGGTAAAATCTAAATTTTGAAGGATTTGTAGGAAATGTTTGAGTCAACTTACCTATGTGTTTAATACTGACTCAGTTCCTTCAAACATTTCTTACAAATCATCCAAAACTTAAAATTTACCTCTAAACCAGTCTTTTTTATTGGAACCTACAAATACCGACCTGTTCCTCTCTTGACCGAGTCTACTGACACAAATCGTATACATGGATGATCATTAACATATTTCGCGGTCCAGGGCGTGTTAACCTGTGTATCTTTAGGAAAATACAACGCCAATGCGTAGCGTGAGGAATACTCCACTTGTTCAAGCGAAGAATGATAATTCTTGAGATGGTCTTGAAATGTCCCAGCTAGCTGTAGGATTTGAGGCACAGGTATAGTTAATATCATACCATGAAAATGTTCAGTAGTTCCATCTTTTGCTGTGGCTGTCCATATGTTATTTGAGGTGGCTTCACTCGCTTCGTTATGGCATAAATTGATTTCTTGACAGAATGTGTTTAGTTTTATTTTGGCGTCTGTTGAACGGAATGAAATGGATTAGCATTAGAATTAAGTTTTACCAAGTGGGACAGCACTAAATTGTTCACTGTATGTATTGATCTAAAATGGCCTAATTTGCTTGCTAGCAGGGGAATTGTCACCAGCCCCAAACAAGTGGGGGTCTAATCATCTGGGGTATGGTTCCCTGGAAAATATTTCTATTATGAGCGTCTGTGAAACGGTATTTCATGCATTTTAGACGCGTTTTATGATGATATTAAAACCACAGATTTGGTATATTTTATGTCATGAATGAAAAAAAATAAAATGTTAGCCCCTCCCCACCCCAATTTCTCCTTAGAATTACAAAATTGGTCCTGAAGAAGGGGGGGGGGGGGGGTCTGGAGCCCTCTCATTGCCCCATCACTATACCTTTGCTTGCTCTTGTAAGTATGTCTATATTAGAAATTGACCACATGACATACCTGATGAATTGAGAAAGTGCTTAACGACACTATTAATACCATTTGGTGCCATGAAATTCTCAGATTCATTGTCAATACTTGCACCTTCTATCTTGCCAGGAAAGGGTTTCAATACTCCTGCTTGAGTTAAGTCATCAAAAAATCTAACAGAAATTACAATTCCATTTAATGATATGGTGATGGCAATATTAATACATAATATTTCATAATGAAGGTGTACATATCATTATTTGGCACACTACATGCAGTTTACAATGGACCTCTAGGAAGAGCAGTTTATAGTATAAATGTTAGTTTAGGTTTCCTCCTGTAGTAACAATGATAGACAGCCCGTACTGGATGTCAAAGGAGAACAGTTTAGAACTGATAAAGCTATCCGATTGATGATACAAATAAAGTTAGTTTAGGGGTTTCCTGTTTCCTCCTGTGGTAACACTGGACCAATAAGAATGTCCCTAAATATTGGACCAGCTCTAGGAAGCCTAGGATGAACAGTTTAGAACTGATGTGATGTAATATATCTTTACTTTTTATGTTTTTCTGCATACTGGCTTGACTTTGTAATATATTGTGCTCCCAGATCCACACTAGCTTGCCCATCAGGTGACCTAGTTGTATTCATCCGCCCTCCGATTCCACGAGATTTTTCCCAAATGTGCACTTCGACACTTTCCCTTGGCAAATGTTGTTTTATTAAAGCAGACGTCACTGAGGCAGTCAGCCCTGCACCAACTATAAGCAATCGGTAAGGTTTGAGGCTCATGTCTTGTAAAGTAGATTCCAAAAAATGATTCCAAGGAATTGTTTCCAGATTTTCAGGTAAGTATTCTTCAGTGAATCTATACTCTTTATAGCAAAATTTGAAAATTAATGCAAGACAGGGGGGTGGGAATATACTGTGGATGGGGGAGAGAATAGAAGTTTTAAATGACAGGGGGGGGGGAGAAATTAGAAAATGTCAGACTGGGGGGTGTTAGAAATTTTGACACATGGGGGTGGGATGAAAAAGATATTTTATCACATGGGGGAGAGTAATAATAAATTTGGTTAGGTGGGGGATAAGTACAGGGGGGAAAGACAATAAACATTTTGTCAGACGGAGGGGGGGGGGGGCGAAAAACTATTTATATCTAATATAAGCCCGCAAACAAATCGTACGAACTTCCGCAAAGCAATTGCCAATATAAAATCAATCGAAGCAAGGGCATGTGAAGATTTGTTTTCCTTGAGAAATCTCTGGAAAACACTCTGAATTTTTCACTTTAAAATGAAAGAAAAGACACAGGAGTAGAGTTTTAAATACAAATATCAGCGATGAATCCAAAAGGAGCGAAAGGAATTGTCCGAATGCTAATGGGCCGTCGTCCAACTGCCGATGACATTTCGCCTTTGGCTGGCGATGCTGGGCTAAGTTTGATGCACCTTCGTAAACTTTTCATGGAGTTTATCCACTCTTCGGTGCCTCTAACGTTAAAAGAACAAGAGAGGAAGCTCTATGCTATGCTGCCTGTTTTTAATAACGTTTTTTCCAAAGCGGCAGGCACCGAAATGACGGAAAGATTTGGCGACGTGCTACAATTCGCAGCCCATACATCGCGACTTATGGTGAACGAGATACGCCGTCACGCCGTGAATAAATCAAACGATAATGCCAGTACGGCTATAATGAATTTCCTTATAAAAAAACCTGATAGCCACACACAATCTGGCTGGAATTTACTGCAAAGTTTGAGCATTTTAGCCAACGGGGAAAGCGCTATAATTTCAGACATGATTGCAACCCAGTTGCCTTCGACACTAGTACATTGCCTATACTTGTTTTTCGAATTGCCAAAGGCTTCTGCATCGACAAGCACAGACACAAATGCCTTAGGAGAATCCTACTTGACAGTGCAGAAATTATTCATACAATTGCTAGTTAGCTTATGCAATCAAAGCATCACTGCCCAAGAACTTGTCAGGACAGACGATTTGTTTATCTTATTTACTGCAATGACATGCAAATGTAAGCCACATAATATCGGATGGAGAACGGGAATTTGTGAAGTTTTGACAAGTATTACAAGGCATGGTCTACGATCTGATGTATGCAATTATATCCACGGTAAAGTATTATTTACTTTTTTAATTATTGAATTAAACATGAAGTTAATAATTTCCATTGTCTGCCCAGTGTCTGATAAATGCAATATAATCTCTAATAACAAATTCATTACATTTTTATTATTACTTGTAATTGATAATAGCTCTTTAATTAATAAGTGACAATGTGCCCGCCCTGACGAGCCCTGTTTTATTATTTGTGCCAGATAGCAACAATCTACACTACACAAATTTTACCTGAAACTGTTGCATTCGACCTGCTTGCAACTTGAGTTGTACTGTATAAATCAAGCACACGACTCACCTATGTTGTTGTAGATGAGTTGCGTGCTTGATTTAGGCCCTGTTTACACGGTAGCAGATGAATTTGGAACTGGGCTGAAATTCGTCTTTTTTTGCGGAACCGGATGAATTTTGGGACCCCCTATGAACAGCATGAATTCGCGTGAAAACAGGCGGAAAAGGATGAAGTACAGTTCAAGTTGTAAGCAGGCTAACGTTGTGTACGGTAAATCGGCCTTTGTGAGCTTCCTGAAATGCACCAATAGTTAATCATGTTCTAACATTTTGTTTCAGCCAAATCGTGCATCAGTCTATGTATTTCAAGCATGCGTCGAATCTGTACGGAAACACCTTTGGAACTTGTGGAGATGTTCATTACTCTATTCAGCATTTTTAAAGACTCGACTGCCATATCCTCCGTGCTAATGGACGACTTTCGTTCCTGTCAGGGTTACCTGTTTCTACAAGACTATCTTTTACAACTGGGAGAAATGGACGACCATTCGGTGGACGAGGCTTGCCGTAGCATGGTTATATGCGTGTCAAACTTCACCATGGTTGGGTACACACCTCTGCGGCCATCCAGAAGCATCGGTGCACCATTTCAAGATTCAGATTTTCAAATGCCTCAAGCTACTGAAAATGGTACTACTGAGCTATATTATTCTCAATTTCAAGTCACTTTTCAACGTGCGGTTCCCAAGTTTGTTGCGAACTTGCCAATTACGTTTCCAAGTTCGGAAATTGGGTGCGAACTTCGCAACAAAGTTTGCAAGTTCATTTCAATGTTTGAACTTTGTTTGTAAACAAATGTTCATACTCAATAATAATAACCAATTCAATGAAATACAAACCTATAATATGAACATTTGTTTACAATGGTTCAAACATTGAAATGTAAACTTGTGAACTTTGTTGTGAAGTTTTGAACTTGGAAACGTAATTGGCAAGTTTGCAACAAACTTGGGAACTGCGCATTGAAAAGTGACTTGAAATTGACAATTACCCTTTACATGGCAATGCGCCTGATAACCCTACACTATTATTTTACTCTATCTAATGCCAGACAATTTTACGTGTCAAGGGTAACCAATGGAACTGTTCTAGAATGTGTTGCTTTCTTTTCTAGGAAATACTGTAAGAAATATTGAAGCATTTCATGTACTACAAACTGTGTTTATTAAGGTTTGTAACTTGAATGGATGAACAGTTGACAAAATGGCAACTAAAAACATTGTCTATTCTCAGACACAACTTTTATGTTCACCAAGACTGTTTGACTGTTTCAATTTACAGATCAGGCAATGAAATTTTTAAGTAGCCTGATATAGATTGACTGAGCCAATTGAAACCTTCAAAGTTTTGTCTAAGAATAGACATTATAAAATAATTCAATATATATAAAATAATTCATGGTTTCTGATTGGCTAACAGCCAATTGTGAAATCATCATATCAATTCAATAGCTGACCAAATATGGAATTCTGGCACAATATTCAAAAGTGTGATATCATAACATTGATCAAAAAGTAATATTGCTATGATGTCATGTCAATGACGACTGCCAAAGGAGTGAGGAATTGTTTCAAAAGAGAAATGATTTTCCACAACAGTGTCTGTTTCATCTTTTAAATAAATAATCTATTATTGAATTCAGTTTTTGCATGGTAATAATTGATATGAAAAATGATCAATTCTTAAGTTTGTGTTATCAACATCAGGCTTTGGCTTTGTTTGATAACACAAACTTCACAGACAATCATATCTTGACAGACTATAATAATAAACTACAGTCACTATAACCCCCTACTTCCCCCCCAAAATTCTGCCCTCCCCGAAAAAAATTCTCCCCTCCTCCCCCCCAAAAAAGATTCTCCCCCCCCCAAAAAAAATCTCTCCCCCAAAATTCTCCCCTGTCCAAAAAAATTCTCCCCTTTCCCCCCAAAAATTATCCCCTTTCCCCCACCCACCAAAAAAACCCTCCTCCAAAATTCTCCCCTCCACCAAAAATCTCCCCCCTGCCCATATTAGTATAACGTTTATCATTCTTTCAGAGCGCAGACAGTCTACTTTGTCAGCATATTCTTGACTCAATACTACGCATCTACACTTCGGATCATGTGAATTATTTCATCTTGGAACCACAGCGAACTATCTCGACTTTCATTGAGAAGGTGAACGAAAAAGAAAGCCTCATTCAAGAAAAGGTTTTTAAACTACTCGAGTTTGTTGCCTGCAACCTCAACTGGACTCCTTCTCCTGAACTGATATCTCTGAGTATTCTGTTTAAAAATACAAAGTAAGTAATACCTGGGTTTCACTAAACACTATCATGCAGCAGATTGTCAACCTGCAGTTATCAGAATGAGATGATAATGTTCATGCCTGAATATGAAGACATAGCTTAGAACTGAACTTTAATATTTTTCATGTTTAGAGTACACAGCTCATGGATTTTTGCGTTGGAATGTCTTATACAGTTGGTGAACTACAAAGACCAGTACAAGAATGTTTTTCGCGATGTTGGTCTGTTGGAAGTGTTGACGAACTGTTTAATTTATTACTCTGTTGCATTGAAAAATATCACGCAGAATGAAGGTAACAGCATTTGATTTGTGGAAGCACCTCTAGGAAGAACAGTTTAGAACTGATAGAGCTATCCAGTATAAATAAGTTAGTTTAGTCTAGGTTTCCTCCTGTACTACTGTAACACTGGATCAATAAGAGATGATCCTCACTGGACCTCTAGGGAGAACAGTTTAGAACTGATAGAGCTATCCAATATAAATAAAGTTAGTTTAGTGTAGGTTTTGTCCTGTAGTAACACTGGATCAATAAGAGATGATCCTTACTGGACCTCTAGGAAGAACAGTTTAGAACTGATAGAGCTATCCAGTATAAATAAAGTGAGTTTAGTTTAAGTTTCCTCCTGTAGTAACACTGGATCAATAAGAGATGATCCTTACTGGACCTCTAGGAAGAACAGTTTAGAACTGATAGAGCTATCCAGTATAAATAAAGTGAGTTTAGTTTAAGTTTCCTCCTGTAGTAACACTGGATCAATAAGAGATGATCCTTACTGGACCTCTAGGAAGGACAGTTTAGAACTGATAGAGCTATCCAGTATAAATAAAGTTAGTTTAATGTAGGTTTTCTCCTTTAGTAACACTGGATCAATAAGAGATGACTCTTACAGGACCTCTAGGGAGAACAGTTTAGAACTAATAGAGTTTTCCAATATAATCAAAGCCAGTTTAATTTTAGTTTAGAATAAAATGAAACCGAAATCATTTATATAGTACCAGAGGATCGATCGAGCAAAAAGCAAGCCAAAGGTTTGACAGTCGACCCAGAACTTATTCCAGATAAGGAGACCCT